AGTTCGTGAGTTTTTAGATGTGTTTCCCGCAGACTTTCCTGGCATGCCACCGGATAGAGATATTGACTTCTGCATCGATCTTGAACCGGGTACTCGCCCCATTTCTATACCCCCTTATAGAATGGCTCCCGCGGAGTTAAGAGAGATAAAGGCACAACTTCAAGAGTTGCTAAGCAAAGACTTTATTATACCAAGTGCATCTCCTTGGGGTGCTCCGGTATTATTTGTAAAGAAGAAGGATGGGAGTTTTCGGATGTGCATAGACTACAGGCAGTTGAACAAGGTAACTATTAAGAACAAGTATCCCATTCCTCGCATTGATGACTTGTTCGATCAGTTACAAGGTGCTTGTGTCTTGTCTAAGATTGACTTGAGATCCGGTTATCATCAATTGAAGATACGGGCAACAGATGTGCCCAAGATTGCTTTTCGGACCAGGTATGGGCATTACGAATTCGTAGTGATGTCTTTTGGTCTTACGAATGCCCCTGCTGCTTTCATGAGCTTGATGAATGGGATTTTTAAGCCATATCTGGATCTCTTTGTCATTGTATTCATTGATGATATATTGGTATACTCAAAGAGCAAGAAGGAACATGAAGAGCATTTTAGAATGGTATTGGAAATGTTGAGGGAGAAAAAGCTTTATGCCAAATTCTCCAAGTGTGAGTTTTGCCTAGATGCAGTGTCCTTCTTGGGGCATGTGGTTTCGAAGGATGGCGTGATGTTAGATCCTTCTAAGATTGAGACAGTGAAGAATTGGGTAAGACCTACTAATGTGTCAGAAATAAGGAGCTTTGTTGGTTTAGCTAGCTATTACCGTCGATTTGTCAAGGGATTCTCTTCCATTGCTTCCCAATTGACGAACTTGACTAAGAAGAATGTTCCTTTTGTATGGTCGGATGAATGTGAAGAAAGCTTTCAGAAGCTCAAGACTTTGTTGACTACCGCACCAATCCTTACCTTGCCAGTGGAAGGTAAGAATTTCATTGTCTATTGTGATGCATCCTATTCAGGTTTGGGTGCAGTACTAATGCAAGAGAAGAATGTAATTACTTATGCTTCAAGGCAATTAAAGGTGCATGAATGCAATTACCCGACCCATGATTTGGAACTGGCTGCGGTAGTGTTTGCCTTAAAGCAATGGAGACACTATCTATATGGAGTTAAGTGTGAAGTATACACGGATCATCGTAGCCTACAGTATGTCTTTACTAAAAAAGATTTGAATTTGAGACAGAGGAGATGGATGGAACTACTGAAGGACTACGATATCACTATCTTGTATCATCCGGGAAAGGCTAATGTTGTGGCAGACGCCTTAAGTAGAAAGGCAGGGAGCATGGGATGTCTAGATCACTTGCAAGTTTCTAGACGTCCATTGGCTAGAGAGGTTTAGACTCTGGCCAACGACTTTATGAGGTTAGAAGTAAATGAGAAGGGAGGATTGTTGGCTTGTGTGGAGGCGAGATCTTCTTTTCTTGACCAGATTAAGGGAAAGCAGTTTAATGATGAGAAATTGACCCGGATCCGAGATAAAGTGTTGCGAGGAGAGGCTAAAGAAGCAACAATCGATGAGGAAGGTGTTTTGAGAATCAAGGGAAGGGTATGTGTGCCCCGCGTTGATGATTTGATCAACACTATTCTGACAGAGGCTCATGGTTCAAGGTACTCTATACATCCTGGTACAACCAAGATGCCTAAAGCAACACTTTTGGTGGAGTAGAATGAAGCGTGACATTGTGGAGTTTGTTTCTAAATGTCCGAATTGTCAGCAAGTAAAGTATGAACACCAGAGGCCTGGAGGAACACTTCAAAGAATGTCCATTCCTGAATGGAAGTGGGAGAGAATTGCAATGGATTTCTTGGTTGGTCTTCCAAAGACAATGGGCAAGTATGATTCTATTTGGGTGATTGTTGATAGGTTAACTAAGTCTGCTCATTTCATTCCGGTCAAGGTGACTTACAACGCAGAGAAGTTAGCCAAAATCTATATCTCAGAAATTGTTCGGTTGCATGGGGTTCCACTCTCCATCATATCAAATAGAGGTACGCAGTTTACTTCTAAGTTTTGGAAAACATTGCATGCGCAATTGGGTACTAGGTTTGACCTTAGTACTGCATTCCGTCCTCAGACCGATGGTCAGTCTGAGCGAACGATTCAAGTGTTGGAGGATATGCTTCGTGCATGCGTGATATAATTTGGTGGTCATTGGGATAGCTTCTTACCCTTAGCAGAGTTCTCCTACAACAGTAGCTATCACTCAAGCATTGATATGGCCCCATTCGAGGCATTATATGGGAGAAGATGTAGGTCTCCCATTGGGTGGTTTGATGCATTTGAGGTTAGACCTTGGGGTACTGACCTTCTGAGAGAATCGTTAGACAAAGTGAAATCTATTCAAGAAAAGCTGTTAGCGGCGCAAAGTAGGCAAAAGGAATATGCAGATCGAAAGGTTAGAGACTTGGAGTTCATGGAGTGTGAACAAGTCTTGCTGAAGGTTTCACCCATGAAAGGGGTGATGCGGTTTGGTAAAAGGGGTAAATTAAGCCAAAGGTATATTGGTCCCTTTGAAGTACTTAAGCGAGTAGGGGAGGTGGCTTATGAGTTATCCTTGCCTCCAGGGCTGTCCGGAGTGCATCCGGTGTTTCATGTGTCCATGTTGAAAAGATACCATGGGGATGGAAACTACATTATCCGTTGGGATTCAGTTCTGCTTGATGAAAATTTGTCTTATGAGGAGGAGCCTGTTGCCATTTTAGACAGTGAAGCTCGCAAGCTGAGGTCAAGGGAGATTGCATCCATCAAAGTTCAATGGAAGAATCGACTAGTCGAAGAAGCCACTTGGGAGAAAAAGTCTGATATGTGAGAAAGATACCCACACCTGTTTACAGATTCAGGTACTCCTTTTCGCCCTTGTTTTCCTTCTTGTGATCGTTCGGGGACGAACGATGGGTAAATTGGTATCTATTGTAACGACCTGTTTAGTCATTTTGAGCAGCAGATTTTATTTCTGGAAAAACAGGCTGAGACGACGGAACCCACGACGGACCGTCATGAGCACGACGGACCGTCGAGGGGTCTCGTTTCAAAACACTTAGAAATTCTGAAAAATGGGTACTGAAATCGACTCTCTGAACTTCGTAACGGAATAGCAGGACGGATCGTCACAAGCGTGACGGATCGTCACAGACTCTTCAGAGAATTTCAGTCTCTGAACTCTGTGACGGAGCAGCAGGACGGACCGTCGCAGGCACGACGGCCCGTCACAGGCTGCGTAATCCCAGGCTGGGTCGGATTTCAGTTAAGTAATTTAAGGGGCATTTTAGACTATTCCTACTTTAATTATAAAGTTAGTTGGTTAATGTTAATAAGTCTAATTACTTGGGGGTTAAAAGAGGTAACCTTGAATTAATTAATGGGTTAATTCACCATCTTTTATACTTAATTATATGCTAATTAGGGTAAAAGAGAGAGGGTTTGAATAAGAAAAAGAAAAGAACAGAAAGAGAGGGAGAAGCGAATGAGAAGGAGGAGAAACGAGAAGAAGAACAAAGCTTTGGGAACTTGCTTGCTTGATTTCTAATCTTCGGCTGAGGTAGGTTATGGCTTTTATACTATTCGTAGTTAACTCTTAATAGCGAATGATATGTGTTGGGTTGTATTGTAAAGTCTTCTATATGCTTAATTGTATGCTTGCATGAATGTGATTATATAATTGTGATGAAATAAGCATGATGAAGCTATTAAATCCCAAATCTTGAAAACCCCTTGTTAATGATGATGCCTTGGTATAAAAGAAGGCTTGATGAACTAAATAATGAGATTGATGATGCCTTGGTATAAAAGAAGGCTTGATGAAGTAAAGTAATGAGATTGATGATGCCTTGGTATAAAAGAAGTCTTGATGAATTAATAGAATGAGATTAGTAGAGCGGGTGTCACGAATCGACACGTAGAATTAGGGGATCGGGTGTCACGAACCGACACGTAGAATTAGGAGATCGGGTGTCACGAACCGACACGTAGAATTAGGGGATCGGGTGTCACGAACCAACACGTAGAATTAGGGGATCGGGTGTCACGAACCGACACGTAGAATTAGGGGATCGGGTGTCACGAACCGACACGTAGAACTAGGGGATCGGAGTGTCACGTTCCGACACATAGTAGTAAGGGAGCGGAGTGTCACGTACCGACACAAGAATAAAGGTGATGAATCTTGAAAGATGTTAATATACTCAATCTAATGAACCTAATTCCCAAATGAGTATGATATGGAGGCTTGAGTCCTCATGAGTGTACTTGATGTTATTTATCAAAGATTCTTGTACATGGTGTTGCTACAGATTGAGTATTGTAGTTGATTTATGATATTATTTGATGCATATTGCTTTCTATTTTGAGTTGGCCGATGATATCTACTCAGTACCTGTGTTTTGTACTGACCCCTACTTGTATGTTTTCATTTTGATTATTTGTGGAGTGCAGCAAACGTGCTGTCGTCTTCAACTCAACCGCAACTCTAGCCAGTCTTCATTACTCTGGATTTCAGGGTGAGCTAATGCTTCTAGCTTTCATTCTATCTTTCTAGATACTCTTATCTTTAGTAATTTGAAGTAGATGTTCTTGTGATGATGACTTCTAGATTTTGGGGATGATAATAAATGTTTGAGTTTTAGAAGTTATTTGATTTATTTTGTTAATGAGTTTTTAAGTCTTCCGCAATGTTTTAGTTCATTATGTTTTAAATGATGGGGTTAGATTCGTTGGTTCGCTCACATAGGAGGATGAATGTGGGTGCCACTCACAGCTCGATTTGGGTCGTGACACTGTGTAACAGTGGAACCAAATGCTACACTATTACATTTATTAAAGGAATTCCTGAAACATAATCATTATGAATCTTTTGGAAAGAAAGTACATGTTCTTCTATTGTGACCTTCTTGTCCACATCGTCCACAACAATTTGTGTTCCCGCTTAGCTTTTCATCTGCATTTATTTTCTTGGTCTACCAGGCATTTTTTTGTAACTTGGTGGCAATACAACTTCTTCCAAAACACTTTCCGGAACTGTCCAATCACTTTTGTCCGTCATTGGTTCCATTGGAACTTCATAGGTGTTGGCTAATGCATCAGGTTTATAGTAATCAGAATAGTATGGGTGTACATCTTTGATATTCTTCTTTTTCAGAACAGCCATTGCATGAGCACAAGGTATTTCATCATGCTGAAATCTACCACAAGAACAATTCTTTCTATCAAGGAAAACGATGTATCTTATACCACCTTCATAAACTGAAAAAATGAATTCTGAAGATGCAACAACCTACAATAGTTTTTAAAAAGTTACTATTAGATTTTTTGATACAAAAAAAAATCTCAAAATATTTAAGCAAGATACATAATATTTGATATATGAATAAATACCTTCATTTTCGAACATTTGGACGCGTTTATAATGAATATCTCTTCAAATTTCCTCCCTAATGTTTCCTTTGTATAAGATGCTATTTCTCTATTTTTGCAGTTCCAAGAACCAAATAGAATTCTGGCTTCTTCCAAAAAGTCCAAAACAGGTAATTGCCGTGCATCAACAAGACAACCATTGATACATTCCACAATGTTAGATGTCATCATTCTACCCCTATTCACGGTTGCATGAGATCTAGACCACCTTTCATAGCCAGCCTCTTCAAGATACTTTTTAACTCTGTCATCTACTTTTTCCACTTTAGCCATCAATTTTTCAAAATCCTTTTTCCGATAAGCTTTAGCCATCGAATAAAACAGATCACTTAGAGTGTTTTTACTTCTCTTGTAGTATGTACAAACATTTTTCCACAAGTGCCATATGCATGCAAAATGTGAAACATTTGGATAAACTATACTAACACTCTTAATTATGCTTTTGTTTCTATCAGAAACAACACACATTTTTTCTCTCTCACCAAATGCATTTTTGAACTGTGTGAAGAACCATGTCCATGAACAATCATTTTCCGTATCGACGATCCCGTAAGCTAATAGTAATATGCAACCTTAACATAGTCAACACACAATATTAATATACTTGATACGTAATGTTGAAACAATGTTATTATTATCATTTTAAAAAAATTATAATTATTCAGCAACATGATATACCTGTCCCATCAAGAGTACTTGCGGATACAAACGTCCCTTTGTAAGCTCCACTAAGATGTGAACCATCAACAACAACAACAGGCCTACAGAACTCAAACCCTCTCATCAAAGGACTTAAAGCAATGAATAGATACATAAATTCTTTTTTTTTTCTGATTTGTGCAACGTATATAAGAATTTGGATACACCGTTTCCAACATATGTATGTATCTTGGCATATTTTTATATGCATCTGCAGGATTGCCCCTTATCAACTCTAGTGCACGTTCTTTAGCACGCCATGCTTGCTGGTAAGAAATCTCAACACTATACATTTCCCTAACATCATCAATTATATCATTTGGAGTGTGTTCTTTTATGATTTACCAATTTTGGAGCCGTAAAAGCACCAATAAATCCAACAGTAGCTTGTACTTTACTTAGTACCCTATCCCTTAATGGACATGTATGCTCACTGTTGAAGTATATTACTTTGATAATATCAGTGTTTTTCCTAACAGACGCCTTTAATTTCCAACAACAATTCTCAGAATAACACTCTAAAACATAGCTGCAATTATACCAATATAAATTTGTTAGTTATTAGTAAAAATGCATACTTGAAACTTTAAGATTTGATACAAAATTTTTGATAATTACAGTCAATGTATGTAAAAGTATGTAACATTTACAATAACACCTCATATTATATTCATGTCAAACAAACTATTTTAACATTTATATAAATGTCCACTGTGTTTTACCTCCTACACACGTTCATAGACACGTCAACATAATAATACAAAATAAATTAAATTGTAACAATTATAATTCCATCTTTGACTTATACAAAATTAATTTTTAATTATCCAACACCAAGTGATATACTAACCATGTAAATAATTCAAATTTATCAAAAAATATCATTATCTAAAGTGTGTAAACAAAAATCAAATATGAAATACTTATATACCTTTTTGTATCTGACCGTTTAACTCTAAAATTGAAGCTAGTTTTAATTTTGTATTTCATCATTACAGCCACAAGAGTTGCTTTATCCTTGTACAATTGTTTCGTCTCCACATTTGATATATTTGTATCTGATATATAATTTTCTTTCTCCATCTCGAGTATGTAACAAGAATCACCAATGTTTGATTCAACAACGTTTAGAGCATTAGCGTCTCTTTGTCCACCTTCAATACACATAATTGCACCACTTCTTGAATCAAAAATTTGTAACTCCTCTGTACTTTTATCATTTGTATCGATGCAAAGCGGATACATACTGAATCCAACCTCTTGCTTCTTTATTTCTATAAACAGCTTCACACACATATCATTCCTAATTATCATCGGAGAAGAATTGCCCTCTACAATATATCGGATAATAATATTTTTTTAAATTCATCAATATTTAATTCAGTAGCAATTGCTGAGATTAGATTCATATATGAAATATTTTTCCCAATCACTATCCCATCACTTTTGTATTGATTGTATTTAACCTCACTCTCCCATATTCCTGAATGCCTTAGCAATATCGTAATATTCATTACGAAACCGGATACAAAATTACCTTCAAGGAAATTTTGAATATCGTTTCTGCCAAAAAAAATGGAAGATCACTAATCAAAATCAAAATATCGTTTCTACCAAAAAAAAAGGGAAGATCACTAATGACAAAATTTAAGGGAATAAAACTGATTTTGAAACACACAAGTTAATGCCTTTATTTGAGGGAATAATAACCGTGACATATTAAAAGTAGGAATTAATTCAAATTTCAGTTTTTAATCCCCCTAATTACTCAACAAACGGATAAAAATCCCCCAAATTACTCAACAAACGGATAAAATTGAATACTATATAATGTATCCGACTGTTTTATTATGTATCAGAAACTTATTAAAAATAAGAAATTTTTTGTAAATTGAGAAAGAGTAGGGATAGGAGGTAATTTATGTTTTACACTATGTGATTTACATAATTTTTACAATAAAATATTGGGACATTTTTAGTTAAAATAACAACACTTTAAATATTTGTTTAAAACATTATAATGACAATATTTTTAAAAATAGTTTGTATCCACATTTGTTATTTTTAGGATTTCCTTGTATTAATTAAAAGATATCATAATTGGACCAATCTCTAACAAATATTAAATTTAAAATAAAAAATAAATACAATATTCTCTCTTCATCTCGTTTCTCCTCTTTTCATGGCATTCTCTAAAAAAAATTCTCACCTTTCAAGTTCCTACTTTTTCTTTATTCTTCAAACAAAAGTTATTCAAAATTTGATTCTTTAACAAAATCTATTAATTCAAGGATTTTTTTGGTTGATAAACAATCAGGTATACATTATTTCATCAAATTTTGAATTTGGTTAAGGTAATTTTTATAGATTTTTAGATTTCTTTTGATTTGTTTTCAATGTCACCAATTATATTTCGCATTGTTCATGTTACGAATTTTTCGTCATTATTTTCGATTTTTATGCAAGTTTGTTTACATTTTCAATGAACTTTTTTTGAAAATTTTTACTCCAAAAATGTAGGCTCTGCGATTAAAATGGCTCAAGAGAGGAGATCTAAGTTTCTTCATGATTTTATCCGCATTCAAGTTCAAGATAGCAATGTCAGGGTAAGCACACTATTAATAAATAATTAAAAGAATTGAGTGCAGAAGATTTCAAAAAATGAAGAAGAACAATTTCCCATTATTTTGTTTTGTATTTATAATTTATTTTAGAATTTTTTTATTATTTCTCAATTTGTATTCAAACCATTATTATGTATGCTTTCAATATTTGCATTCATTCAAAATCTCATGTTGTATAGTCATTAATCTTGTATTTTATTCTTAATTTGTATTTATCATAATGGTATGCTAACTAGTTGTGTATTTTATTCATAGGAAGAACAACTTTTTAGTAATTTGTTTTGTTTTTATAGTTTTTTTTTCTTTAGAATTTTGTATCATTTTTCAATTCGTATTCAAACCAATATGTATGCTAATATTTATATTTACTTAAAATCTCACGTTGCATAGTTTATGAATCTTTTATTTGTTCCTAATTTATATTCATTTCAAAAGTATACCAACTAGTTATATATTTTATTTAAGAACGATTATAACAAATATTCATTTATTGCTTTCAGTATTATTTTTACTTTTCCACATATTATTTTTGTATTTATATATCATTATACAAAATAAAAAAAAATTAGAATGAATACAAATACAAATAATATACCGATTGGAATGAATAAATAAATACACAATGAAAAAAATACATGAATACAAATATGTTTAAATAACTATAGATTCATTTGACATACGTATTGAAATGTATACGAACTAATAAATATATACAAGTTTCGTATACAAAATAAAACGTGAAAACTAGAATGAATACAAATAATGACCTTTAGAAAAAAGGATTGTAAAGAAAGTAATGAAGATTTTGAAATATTTTCCTCCCTTGATTTTCTCTAGGTTGTTATTTCTTAATTATATTATGTTTAGTTAAATAAAGAAAAAAATATATATAAACCAACTCATAACAAACTAAAATATTGTCATTTTTAACAAATATTAAAAGTATTGCTAAGGGATCCTATTAAATGCCAAAATATTATTATCTTGCAAAATTTCCCAAAAGTATTTTGATGAAGGAAAAACAAGTTCCTTTCTCTATGTGAATCTAAATTCAAAGACGTACCTAAAATCTCTAATATTTAGATATAACACTAAGAAAAAGAGGGAAATAATGTAGTAAAAATTTAAGGAATCCCATAGTGTAATTCAATAATTACACTCTGTCCCGACAAATTTAGTATTTACTAAAAATCCCTTAAAATTTTTGTTCCGTGATACTTTAGACTCTAGTGATACATGGTAAATGATACATGGTAAATTTAAACTGTTAAGAAAAAAATGGAGAAAAAACAGTACATTTATACTTGTTAACTAAAATAGCTTAATTTACGGTAACAAATCATTAATCAGCATTAAATTAGCACGTAATTGAATATTAATTTCAAATTTTGAAAATCAAAGATTATATCATCTATTTTGAATACAATTTTCAAAACCACATGATACATAGAAAATATTATGATACACAACAAATTCATGTATCATGCATCGTCTAAAACACTATACACACGGATTCAAAATGTATCAGCAAGCACACTTGATGGATCCAAAATGTATCAATGCACCATCTAAAACACTATACACACTTGATGGATTTAAAATGTATCAGCAAGCACACTGATTCAAAATGTATCAGCAAACACTTCATGTATCAATGCATCGTCTAAAACACTATACACACTGACTCAAAATGTATAGCAAGCACACTTGATGGCGCAGTTATTGAAATTAATCACTGATACATGATAAAAAAAATTCAAAAACCCTTGATACATAGGAAATCATGTAATACACATTTAATTTATGTATCAAATCATAGACTAAACATTATAATCCACTTAGTACTTATGTATTAAACCTTGTCTGATACATGATAATAATTTTCATAATTTTTTGATACATATTGGATTCCTTAAAATTTTTACTAATTTCAACAACAATTTTAAAATAAGTATAAAAATACAAACCCGAAACAATGTAGGCCTGACAACAATGTTTGCTGCTTCTTTTTTCTTTTTTTGTTGTATTTTGATAAACTTTGATTTTGATGTTTTGCCAGAGTCTTTGTTTGAATCCTTCTGAAGATTCATAGGATCATGCAAAAACTTTTTTCTATTTTCTATCCAATTTTTATCGTCGGAATCATATAATTTAAAACTCTTTCATAGAGAAAAATTAAGAAGAAAAATTGGGATCTCTATGATAATCGGGTCGGCATCGACTCGATTTTCAGCAAAATCATCAACTTGGATTTGATCAAGCACAAGTACTAATCCCATGGCAAAGGCACAATCAAACCCAGACTTTATTGAGAGAGAGAAAACGTCTTTTCCAAGCACCACATGAGCACAAGCATCCAATTTTCAGAAATTTCAAATTTTTTGAATTTTGAAATTCAAAATTTCATATTAAATGTTGTGAAACATTTTTAATTAAAATTAATAATTCAAAATTAAAAAAGTGATTCAGAAGATTGAGTGTTATAGTGGAGAAAAAATAGGCATGATATGGGGAAGTGTGTGTTATAGGAGAGAGAAGACTATGTATCTCTAAACTTCTACTAAAATTAAAAAAAAAGAATTATGTAATATTTAAAAAAAAAGGAAAATTAGAGAACACTTAACTTATAGTTGTGTATTTAAGTTATTTTTCCAATAATGTATCAAGAGGAAATTTTAGAAACTCAACACTGAACTACAACGTTTAGCTTTCTTACGACATGGGTATCATCAAATAGTATCTCAAGTTTTAAAATTTATATACATAAATATCTGATTTTACGGAGAAATCATGAGTTATGTACCCCATTTTAGCATGTAATTTCCTCCTATGTTGATGATAATCAAGCGAAAGAAGAAATAGTCTAAGTAAAGTAATTGAATTTTTTTAAAATACTAGATTTGACAATTACTCTTGTGGTATTATATTAAGGTGTACGCAAATATACTATGATTAAGTTTGAATTCTATTTTATTAGGTTAAAGTTTATAACTAATCGCAGGATAGTTTTTATATCTTAAAATATGGAGTTATTTTATTTGGAAGGTGTTTATCCAATCCCCATTATGGAGGCGGAATAAACTAATATAGGCATTATAATTTCTAGACTATAATTTTGCGATAACTTTGTCAGCAAACCAAACAATCGCAATTATAAAGAATCGTAGGGTATAGGATAAAATTATTATATAAAAAAACAATGTTAGGATGGGGAGGAGAAGCTTTTATATATATATATATATATACCTTAGCCATTTTAAACTTTAAGTATGGAGCACGACAAAAAAACCAAAACATGGAGATGAAACTTTAAAGTTGAGATAAATGTACCAAAACATCTACATAAAAGCAGACGTACATAATCAAAATTGAAAAATGACAATTGAAGCTTGCAAATTACTTCTAAAAAAAAATTTCCCAACTCTAATTAGCCAATAACACAAATAAAATTTATAATTGAGAGACAGATTGAGATTTGAGTGAATATGTAAGAGGGTAATTAAATTGTTTGTGAATTAGTGAGAAATAGAAGAAAATGATCAATATTTATAGGGGGTAGGGAATGTTTTGGGGAGGGGAGGTTGTTTCTAGCAGTTGGTGGTCCCCACCCAATCTCCTTACGGCTCCCATCGACTAGCAGTCGTTACAACTTTTTCCTAAAAGTTTGATCAA